TTTTTGGCTTAAGGCACAGTTGCACTCTCACTGCCTAGTTGTTGTTTTTTAGATCTTGTTTAAATGTTGCCAAACTTTGTTAAGGGAACTAATAATCCACAAATCAAATACTGTACTTAATTATTGAACATCCAATAATTCAGAATGTTACTAAAACAAATCAATTCACTCAACCAAAAAGCACAAACAGAGGTCATGACTTGATAGGTTGTACCTCATCTGTAACCTTTTTGATGGGTATAGATAAGAATTATCTTCTGGAACAAGGTGCATGGTCTTCAGTCAGAATTTTTAATTCATGATAACATAATGAAGGCCTCTCCAACATAGTTTGCATGGCTCTAGGCAGTACTGTTCTAAGGGTAATCCTCAATTCTTAACAGGCATGATGGGCTCTGCCAACTTCCTAGTTGGATGCATGCAGTAAACCTGTTGATGCATGATTTCCACATCTCTGTTTAACTGATTCTAGAATACAGGTCACTCTTCAAAGTTTCAAGTCCATATATGATGGATGGAAGCTTGATTTTTTTTTTTTTTTTTTTTTTTTTAATTATAATATAATGTGAGAGCCAAGATATGTGAAATGGATCCCCTCTTTCCATGCTATGGGTTGAAGTCTGGAGAATCAAGTCCTGAGGGTTAGAGCCCTGAAACCTGGCTTTTTAGTTATGCACTAAAACCAGGCAGCTCTTGTAATACACTGCTTACTTGGGTACTCAAATATACCTTCCATCTTCAATAATATACCAGGCTGATTTATTAACTCATGTATGTATACCTTATCACTCCTTCCTCTCCACTGCACTGTCTGCCTCAAATGAGGGGGAACTAATTGCAACACTTGCCTTCAAGGGGCCAAGACTGTCCAGTCAGCATCCTTCTTGCCAAAACTACTTCTGTCACCTTAGAATCTAGGCCAATCATTCCCTCATATTTCATTTCTTTGCCGACTCCCTTAGAGAACAGAGCTATAGACCAACTATCCCTTACTGCTTTTTTGAGAGCTAAGAATCAGAGCTTCTTTGTGACACTACAGGGAGAGTTGTCAGGACACAGTTCTAGGTTTTATCATTTCAATAAAACTAAAGTATGGCTTATGTTTATCAGTTGTTATAAGTACAGTCCTTAACATTTTATACCAGCCTTCCTGAATGCAGGTTAGCCTTATGGTGATGTGGCTAGTCCTGAGTCTGTGATTGTTTGTTAATATATATTTGTGGATTTTTTTTATCTGTGAGGTCCAGGCCTTTCCTAGTGTGGGGTTGATCTGACGAGATTCTGCTCAGGATAGAGGAGTATATGAAGTACAGCTGCCAGTACAGTAGTGTATGAATTTTTATTTTTGCACATTATATAAGAGTAAATGAGGAGAAATTGGACATTCAGGCAACTGGCTGAGTGACTGTACTGTGTGGTGGAGACGAGTCAAGAGACTGACAACTTACCAGCAATATGGATTAGTGACTTATCAATCAGGTCACAGGGCAAGAGTTACCACTGCTAACACAGAAATTGGGAAGGAGTAATTGGAAAAAGAGAGAGAGAGAGAGAGACCAGTCAGGCTAATCCATAGTTTCATTCACTGCATCAACATTATTGTATCGGCAATCTCATGTCATGTCTCGCGATGTTGACTTGGCAGAAGAACATGTGGGATAAAGGCTTGGACAAACATACCAGACACAGCATCACCACGGCAGCTCCAAGCTGTTGCCACCACTGGATAGCACCATACTATAGTGTGGCTCGACCATACTGTATTGTTATGGGATGTACGTTTAGGGACTGTACTAAATTAAAGGTACTATACTGTAACAAGTTGTACTATAACGACCCTCGCATCTGTATGTATGTATGTATGTATGTATGTATGTATGTATACATTTATTCAGGAGACCCATTGCCTCAGAGAAGAGAATAAAGATCATTCAATAAAAATGGGATTATTATCCCAGATATATATATATATATATATATATATATATATATATATATATATATATATATATATATATATATATATATATATATATATATATATATATATATATATATATATATATATATATATATATATATATATATATATATATATATATGCACTTATCTATAACTGTTATACAATCTACCCTGTATTTAAATTTAAACTTTCATAACTTATATTACAGAGCATTTTGTAAAGTTCATGTTTGAAGAACGCATGGCTGGCCTACTGGTGGCTGGCACATTCTGTGTGAACAGTTGTGTGTGCATGTAACAGAGTAAAAAAATAAATAATATAGTAGCAATAAAAATACTGTACTGTATATCTACTTAAAAATACGAGTTGAAAAATAACAATAACACAGCTTGGACTGGTAGGAGGATGTAGCTACAGGAACAGTCTAACTTGGCGACCTGCTAAGTCCATGGATTCTTGTTACCATGTTGACTGATATTCTGTGATATAAATATAATAATTGGCTAATACCCAATTCTTTTAATTCAATAATAATTTTCCATTGCATTTGAAAGTCATATTGGTAGCACAAACACTGTCAAAGGTGATGGGAAGACTAGTAATGTCAATTGTGACTGACTCTTCTTGAATGTTCTCACAAGGTATTGGTGAAATTGCAAGACTTGACAATGGATTTACATAGAGCAGTGGCATTGTTAGAGAGTTTGAAATTATTTGTAGGTAAAATGAGAAGTGAACTTGTGTTCTTTGAGGAAAAAGCAAACACTCGAGGCAGGTGTTTGAGAATATACCACACTGTGGTAAATGAAATAACGGATCTCACGCATTGAGCCAAATGAAAGACCACGTACGACAGCCAACTTTATTCTTGTGTTAATGGCGTATACACCTGTGACAAGCACAAAGAAACCACACAAATAGTCCTGAAATGTGTCCACACTATTTGTTATGTATAGGGAAATAACAGGCATGGTCTACAAAAGATAGAATTAATCACAGATGTGATATTCATGAAGAAGGAACATGCGGTCAACAAGATGACGACTTACTATAAAAGCAGCACAAGCTTAGAGGAGAGAGATGTAAGACCTACAGTACACATTTATTACCACAGTGCCTCATTGGTAATATAATCACAATAATATTTCACACACTTAAACAAGCTACACGAGGCAATCGAGTGTCTAAGAGCCAGTGAAACAATGTCTGTACTCTTGAATGATCACTTATGCCTCGACATAGAAACCATGATGTACATCAATGCCCCAGACTATAATTCCAGCCTTCCTCAAGCATAGCGATGCTTCCTCTCTGAGTGCCAAGGGGAATATGACTTGGTTTGCAATTTTCTCATTATTTATTACACAACCCCTAAGTTGTAATGCACCATAAAGGTGGGCATTAGACTAAGTGAGGAGCTGGTTGAAGTAATGTTGCCAGGCCTTGTGGTCCAGTCTTTGCAACTAATCCCGTGGCAAACTAACACTTATCACCTGTCAACTGCATGCATGCTGCTTCAGATTACCCTAAGCCTAGTGCTACACTGTTCCTCCCTGGGACAATGGCACGTCACAAAGAGACAATGTAAGTGGGCCTTACTAGCAGTGCATACGGCACTAACAATAGAAATCAAAGCCCAATGAAAAAAAATAATAGATTTGATAATATGCTTTTGGGCGAAGTTAGCAGGACAATAGTTCACACCACATCATTATTTACAAACTCTATGGTTCTACTCAGTCAACTTGATGCAGACAGAATATATTGAAGTGAGAAACTGATTTGGTTTCTTGTTAAGACTGAGAACAATGTTTCAGCTTTGTTTTACCTCAGGATCAAGGAAATGATAAGGGAGTTGAATTGCAAATATACAGCTTGCTCTATTTTTATGATCTTAAAGATACATTTCAAAATGTTAACTTAATTTTACATCGATGTCTTTTTACCTTATGGTGTCAAACTCTACTGGAGAATATTCTTTTCAAAGCTTGGGCTGATTAAGAAAAAATTATGGTCAACCTTGCATCAACATCTTTTGAAATTGTACACAACATGGACTCTATTGTCATTATCTGCAAGTGTTACTAACTGTCACTCTCCTCTCCCTTCATGAAGGAAGGATTGTACATTCACTGTACAGTATACATACACCTCTACGCACTAGCCTACAATAGACATGTGTACACTTTCCACTCCGTTATGTACAGCACTGTACTGTATGTACAGTACTTTCACACCTTCTGAATGTACAGTGCAATATACATAACTATAATCTCTTTTTATGTCTTAACACTGCTTTAACTCTATATTCCTGGATGATTGTGTCCTGGTACAGTAATGTACAGTACTGCTGAACACAAATTTTATGCAAAAACAGCAGCGAGTGTGGGAACAACCTTGTACAATGAAGCAGAATGTGAACTAAGTGTGTGAGTCAGTCGTCTGAGTTTCCCAAACAGCTAGCCCACTCATGTGCCCGGAATGTGGGGAAATGTGCATAGGCATCAGAGCATGATGAAATCTCTTGGAACTCTTCGAAAATATGTTCAAGTTTTCCCAGAATTTCCTGGAAGGCTCAAAATTCATTCTGGTTATTGGAGAGTTCCATGAACCGGAAATATTGGCTGGCTGGGAGATTACTACAGTACATATTGAAAAATGTTATGCTGTGTATTGAAATATGCATTTTACCAATTTCAGTCTTGCAATTTATGTGCAAATCATATAGAATAAAAATAAAACTGTGATGTATTGTATATGGAACAGCTTCTTATTTTATTGTGTAATTATACACTATTATTTTAATGTTGTTGTGTTGCCCCAGGGCCCTGCCTGTTCTTATTCCAACCCCTGACTAGTAAGTTACCCTCTATTACAAGAGCTGCCTAGCTATGGGCTTTGCCATAAACAGGGATTTCAGGATCACTCCTCCATTTCTGGCTATTGTCCTTCAGCCAGGCAGCTGTTGGTATTATGTACAATGTTTGTTTTTTCATATTCCGCTACATCCTCTTTCATTCTCCTCATTCCCCTTCAGCTCCGTGGTGGCGGTTATGAACCCGAACTTCACTATCCAAACTGGCGTCGCGTTCACAAACCCATTGATCGTCACCACGTTTTACTTGACTCATTAACAAAGCTTATGGATGGTAATGTATTGATTCCTTTTCACTGTAGTTTTTGGTGCATTTTTTCTGTATTGTTTGATGTAAAACTTTCATAAAATTTATATTGTCTTTTCTTGATCAGGTTTTAGTGTTAGAGTTTTCTATGACATTCACCAATTGATCTGTAGTGAACCTAGAAATTTCTCAAGAGGTCCTTTATAATCCATAATAACACCAAGCCAACTTCTCTCTTTCCTATACTTTTTTACCCAAGAGTTAATTTAAGTTAGTTAACTATGGTATTACTCTCTGTAGACACAGTTTGGTATAACTTTTCTTGCTTTAATTATTGTGGCCCTTTTATTACACACATGCCTTCTAATTAGAGTTTCATGTTGTGCTACAGGATTCTATTTTACTGTTTATTTTCAGGTGTAAATGACACAAATTCAGGGACAGACAAGTGGTTGAGTCGTTTAGAAAACAGCAACTGGATGAATAATATTAAGGAAACATTGAACTGTGCTTGTCTTGTGGCTCAGTGTCTCGATCAAGTAAGTGAATCCATGGAGATAGCTCATGTTATGGGAAAATCCTATAGTAAATGTAAATCTACTCTGTCAGTACATTTTTCATGCTGTTATGCAGAAATGTTACAAAAATCACATCTTTATTGTATTACAGGAAGGTGCCTCTGTCCTTGTTCATGACACCGATGGTCTGGATTCAACCATTCAAGTTACATCTCTTGCACAAATAATTCTCAACGCAGATTGCCGCACTGTTCGAGGGTAAGATTGACAAGATGATAATTGTTACTTTAGTAATTCTTCTCTCTAGTAAATACAGTATTAACGTTCACTAATCCTCCAGCAGACATGAGGTAATCCAATTCTGTGATTGTAATCAATTGCCGTAAAGACCCGTAATTCGTACCCTTCAAATTCGAAACTACTCATAGTATTGTTTTCCTGTTATGAAATATACATGAAATTTTTTTAATATTTGCTAAAATTTTGGATTATGAGAGTCATTTACAAATATGTATGATGTATGTGTCACCATACGATGCTTCCGCCCGCTTCAGTGTAAACAAGTATACACATGTCAGACCTGTCGGTCAGGGTCAGTTTACATTGGTCAGTCATGGAGTGTACAGTCGGGGTCAAAAGTTTGCTCCCACCTAAAATGAAGCAGCATCAATCCCAAATGAGATGAAACAGTCCAAGTAAGTCAGTTCGGAGACACATTCCTGTGACTCGGTTTCACCATGAGGAGCGAACTTTGGCCCCGACTGTACAGTCCCCTTCACTAGTGCATTTACAGGGGCTCACATAAACATTTCACAAATCATTATCTTTGAGGTGTTTTAATATTGTTTTAATTTGATTTCATAGTGTGTTTACTATTGTGAGTTTCCTTCTGTCAAATGTAAACACAGCGCTGCCACACTGCACTAAACAAACACAGGGTTGTCACACTGCACAAAACCTGACAAGCCCCTGTAAATGCACCAGTGAAGGGGATTGTACATTACAGTCCAATGTTGGAGCCATTATGTCTGATAACACTGGACCAAGCATCTCAAGAGGAGCCTCTAAGAAGAAAGCTATCAAGTCAATAGACAAATACAAGAGCTTAATCATCTAAGATAATGTTTAAATTTTGATTGAAGCAGATAACAGAAAAATACCATTGTTGTTGGGTTTTCCTTCAGGAGGTGTCCATTATATTTCATAAAATCTTATAATTGGTAAGGGTTAGAGCCTCTATTATTTCGAATTATGGGGTTTTATTTTACAGTTGTTCAAGTACAGGTAGTCCCTATATAACACGACTTCACACAACACAAAATTCACACTAGCATGAGGGACCAATCGGGGAAACTGTTGACTTAGCATGAAATACATTACCAGTTTAACATGAGCCACAACATGACAAGGCATCATCGTGCCAGCCTGCTTCTCACTGGCCTCTGGGTCACACACATATTGTTGTTTCTTGATTTGTCTTTATTAACCTGTACCAACTTGAATGCTAAATTACCAAGATGTAACAAAAGTAATAGTGATAGCAAGAGACAAAGAAAATTTATTTCAGTAGAGGTGAAATTGAAAATGAGAAAGTTATGAAAAGGGAGAATGCACTGCTGATATTATGCATGCAGTAGGCCTTCATAGGGCAACCATACTCACAATTTGCATTCCATTTCTCTTTGCAAGACTTTCCTTGTTTCCAAGTCTTTCTTGTTGGAAATGCATAGAGATTGCCATTTCCAAATTTTTTGGAAATTGTTTAGTATTCATGAACCTAGTTTCCATATTGGAAGCTTCTCGGTGAATGTAGATGAAGTGATGTTAGTTACTTCAACTCAATTTTGATTATATTACAGATTTGAGGCACTGATAGAACGGGAATGGATACAAGGAGGCCATCCTTTTGCCACTCGCCATGCTCGATCATGCTACACTCCTAGTGCTCAACGTTCTAAGTCCAACTCTCCTACCTTCCTCCTCTTCCTAGACTGTGTATACCAGATTCATGCACAGTTCAGCTGCAGCTTTGAATTTGCAGAAAACTTCCTTGTGATGTTGTTTGAACATTCATACTCATCACAGTTTGGTAAGATGATGACTAAGTTATTAGTACAGTATTGATCTATGTTCAAATTTTACCTCAGTTCTCTTTATCAGGCTTTTGTAACTGGCTTAGTGAATTGGACGACTTATTTACAATAATCCCTCACTAAAGATGGAGGTTATGTTCTAGAATTCTTCCATGGTTGAGAAATACTATGGTTGAAAGTGCTGGATATAATGGTGTTAGAGGCATAACCCCTGAGAGACATACCAAAAGTCTTATAATGCCCAGCTCAAACTTAATCCTTAACCAGTTAGTTACACTTAGATAAAAGTACTCCCTTGGTGCTTGAAAAAAAAAGCGTTATTTGCCAGAAATGATCCAAAGCAATGTAAAAATGCATGATAAAAAATATATATATATATATTCATTCGTTAAAAGGTCCCATGCTGACAATTTACACCTTTGGCTCTTGGCAGTTTTCCTAAGCTGAATAAAATCATCTGGCAGTAGCCAGAGTATACGTAATTCTAAAATGCAATAAACAGATTAAGGGGTTAAATCCTCAAGATAGGTGCCTGGTCACACTTCACTTCCTGGTTATTTTCACATTTTTGTCTTTATGAAGTCATGCTTTCTATACCAGATTCATCTGATGTATAGAGGCGAGTCTTTTCAGTTGAAATTTATTATTGAAGTCTAATACATTAAACCCTCAATATGATGTGAGAGTAGAACCAAGAGTTGTGCAATATTAGATTGCATTATATAATTTTTCTCACTTTAACACGAATTCCATTCGTTCAAAACACATTTTAGCAAATTATAACTCACCTAAAATGTAAATTACTGCTTTCAGGACTGCATTTTTTCTGACTCAAGTTGATTGATGGAGTAAAAGTAACTGGTGTGTCAAGAATCGTGTGTGATTTTTGTACTGTACATGCTGTTGGCCATTGCTAGCAAACCCGTGCTACCATCTATTGCAGATGGGAACTTTACATTTTTATCAACTGATTGATTGTCTTCATTTCACATTAAACATTTAAAAACATATTTAATAAAACATTAAATTTGCAAAATGTTTTTTTAAGAAGTGAAGCATTTAAAAACATATTGATGGTTTTTTTATGCTAAAAAACATAACCAAAAGTAAAGAAAATTATCAGGGCCACATTCTTTGGAGTAAGAGTTGTGAACTCTTGGAATAATCTTTCAGTGAATGTTGTGATATTAAGATTGTGAATTGTTGCAATAACTTGCCAAATAATTTTTACGATGAATCAAGTGTGGCCCTTTAATATGTTACTTGACTAACACAGGCTCACTGGTGTGTTAGTCTCATTTGCTATGGTGGGCCATACTTGATATAAATATTGAATACAGTGTACTGACAAATTCCTTTAGTTAAGACAATTTATTTCACTAAACCTGGCCCACCACCAGGTTGGCTCCACACTATGCCATGTATCTATACTGTACATAGTGTTTACTCACCTTAGATAGTGACATTTGAGCACAGAATCTTAAAACAGTAAACAAATGTACAATAAGAATGTGGTGTTGTACAGAAGAGACAAAGGAAATGTTAGTTTAGATGTGAAAATTGATGTGTTAAGGCATTATGAAAAAAAAGGGAACAGCTTTGGATATCAATATAACCTTATGCTCAGTGTTTAACATAAATTTGTATATTTTCATGTTTTGTCATCTTGGAAAATAGCAGCTGCCAAATCCAGGCCTCAGAGTTTAAATATTTTAACACGTATATTTTGTTGTGAATTAATTATCCTATCAGCACAAGCAAGAAAATTCTGTGTACTTAAAATATTTATGGGATTATAGCACAGCTCCTGGATCTGGACTATGTGACATTCAGTGGAAGAGGAAATGAAAAGGTGTGTCTGTATTATGACCAAGTTTTATACAAAATATTCAACCTGGGGCATCAAGGAATTCAGTGGAATTTAGCAAATCTATTAAACAGTACAGTGTAGTATATGAATGTATTTACATAACTGTACTTTTATATATGATGCCTTGAAATCAAACATATAAAATATATTCCCAGGTACATTCTTGGGAAACAGTGAAGGAGAACGAAGAGGGCTGCAGGCTCAGGAGAGAACCTCTAGCCTGTGGTCCTATGTCAATCGGCCAGAGGTGCTTCCTAAGTACCTTAATCCCATGTATGAGCCCAATCAACGAGTTATTTGGCCATCTGTTGCACCTATGAGTTTGGTGAGTCTTATAAAAATGATGCTTTAGTAATTTTTTATAAGTGTTTGAAAATATTTTCCTGCCATTTTGAAATAGAATGCTAAGAATAAACTATGATGTGCTATTATTAATCAAATGTACGATATTCTCATCAGTACTGTATAGAATGGGAGGACAGAAGAATAATTAAAATTCACATAAAAACAGATGCCTCATCAAAATGGGAGACCTTGAGCCTCTGTTATTATGGTTATATCAAGATCTTCAGTTGAAAAAAAATATTTAAATGTTTGATTTTTAAATATAACTAAGAACGATCTCTATCATTTAACAGCAATTGTGGGCCAGTGTCTTCTTGAGGTGGGTGGTTGACCAGGCACCCCAGGAGGCAGCATGGTCTGTGGTGCGGGAATTGCGGGAGCGAGATTCATCTCTGAGATCTCGTGTGGCCCGCCTCAGGAGACAGTTGCAAGATCTGGAGAGAGAGGCAGTTGAAGTAGGAATAATATCACCACCAACAGAAGTAGAGGTTGTCTGAACTGGTATGAATATTCATTCAGGTTGTTTTTACAAAGATATACAGTGCAGTATAGTCGTAACTTTGTACACAGTAGTTCATGTTACACAGTTAACCATTTTCTTAAATATCTTTCAACAAGATCAAGGAGAAATATCATTTGTGATGTAAGAAATTTTCAGAGTATAAATAAAAGCAGTTCTCAGATGGAACATTCAGGAATTATTACAGTAAATTACTGATGTAACCCCTCAGTTGTGAAGGACTTATGAGAAAGGGATCCAGATTAGCTATTTATTAGCATTGAATTGTTATAATATGAATAGTACTAAGCACAACTTAACCCAGCAAAAGAGATGTAACAGACCTGACCTTTACCCCATTCCATCATGTTATTCCTAAAAAATAAGCTTAAAAGATTATAGATAATAATTGCCCTTGTATATTTTACCTTCATTGTTTAGAAACAGTTTTGTATATTGTATATTTTATAGTTTTTTTTATTTATTGTATTTATGTGTACAGTTTTAGGTAAAGTTTTATAAATATATTTTATTGGGGCTTAATTGTACAGTACTTCACAGGAAATAAGCCTGAATTTCTGATTGGCACATCTCTCATCTTTACAAAGATCTTTACAATAAATTTACTTACTATATTCAGTGATACATATTGACATTGGAATTTGGAAACTACAGTGGAACCTTGCTACATCTGATACTCAATATATCAGAAGTTGGCTTTATCGAACCAGACCAGGATACTTTATATCAGCATGTATCTAATATGGCTGATGTGTTGGCGTCCTTAACCATGTACCGTACAGTACTTTGTTAGCAAGAGTTAGTCTACCCTTGATGCACGCGCAGGTCACTCGGTGCTACACATTCACACTATTATTCTTTTAAAAGTTCACCAATTTTTAAATTGATCGTGAACCAAACTATTCCAAATTCCTTGACCTCCCAAAGTCAGTGGTGAAATTCTACCTCTTGTTTGTCTACCATCAGTGTGTAAAAGCCAGTTGTAAGGAAACTGGTAATGAGGGAAAACTGTGCATTTTCACCATCATGCTATGCAAAGCAGTTGTTTCATGGACTGGAAACTATACTTGCACAACAGTCCTGACTGGACCCACATGACTCACAGTCATGCTCTAATGTTTATTGTGATTTTCACAGTTATATTGTTGTTTGCTAATGTAACAATATCACAAAGGCCATCAGACCCCTCAATACCATAGATAAAAGTCAAAAGACATATTATAGTTATTATAATTTAATGGGATTTCTCATGATGAATTTTCTTTTCAAGCATTTTCACTTGGAGTTCATCACTTTTCTAAATAAACAATCTTACATGTGCCTGAACATTGCTTGGTGTTAGTTTCAAGCGCCTTTTAGTTTTATTTAAATTTTCAAGCCATATTTAACTACAGTTGGGTCTTCATTTACGCGGTCAATTGAACCCGCGGAGTACCGCGTAAAACGAGAAACGTGTAAATGAAATAACAGAACATATGGGATTAATTGAAATAGAGACTGGGCCGACCCCCAAACTCCACTTTTTCCGACACAATACATACCTCGTAGTCAAAATAACATCTTAATTTTATGATGGTATGCACACACAATTAATAATTAAGAGAAATATCAATAATTTTAGGTTTTTTAACACTTACATTCGTAGAAAAGATGGCTGGGCACACGGGGATGGGGGGGTTGGTTCCGAGGCAGAGGGCAGATTATTGGCCCTCACCTGTATCACTTGTATCAATTGTATCACTATCCACCACAGAGGCTTGCAGGGCCTCTTTGTCAAACCCCTCAAAGTCCATATAAGTCCATATCCTCACTATCACTGACTTGGGCCGGCTGTGGTGGGTGGCGGGTGAAGAACTCGGTAATGTTTTGATGACTGGGCGACCTTGTGCGCACCCTGCCCGCGCCGCTTCCCGCGTAAATGACCAAATTTGCTGCGTAAATCAAGCATCCCGCTTCTGGCAAAACACCGCGTAAATGACAAAATGCGTAAACCAAAACCACGTAAATCCAGACTCAACTGTATTTATTCTCTTGATAAAATTATAAACTACAGTATATTCTCTCAAAATTTATTACAAACACTTTTATTAATATTCTGGAAGAGTGAAAAAAATTACTAAATAAGAATAATGATAACATTTTGCCCTGAAAGATTGTGGCAAAGCAGGATGTAAAGTCCTGATAAGGAGATCCTATTTACTCAGAAACCCACAAACTTCTTATGTTAAGTTTTTCCAAGAATAGAGGAATTTGGATATTGCCATATATATATATATATATATATATATATATATATATATATATATA